TGCTGCCAAATGAGGAATTAGTTTATATTATTGTTTTCTCAACAGTAAACAAGGATGAGCTTTAGTTTCTTCCTGTAAAAAAGGGAAATTCAAACTTTATTTCCTTGCAGAAGCATATCTAACTTCAACACGCCCACGCCCGTGCCCACCCCCACGGTTGCCGCCGCAATCACCCTGACCGTCGTTGACACGCATGCTCCATGCAACCGTCTTTCAACGCCGCTCCCTACTGATTCGGACTGTATGTGCTCATGTCCTTTTCAATTGACTTTGATCTGTATGAAACAAAATGCCTGTCATTTTCTTGCATATGGTGGTCCAGCTTTTATACTACTCTCTTTTTTTTGTTTTGTTAGCGCTTGAGTACTTGCTTAGCCTTTTGTGATATAGATATTTATTTTGTTGTCATAATATGAGTCTGGTTTTTATTATTGTGATTCTTGTACTATAGACGATGTTTAGAAATTTTTGGCTAAACAATCTTGTTTGGGCCACAATATTACACTCAAATTTGCCATGATATTTGATCATATATTTTACTCGTCATAGGATGATTTCAGGGAGCACGTGTTGATAATTTGAATTTTTTTGGTGGAAAAATACACCGTAGGGACGGTTGGTACTATAGCCGCCCCTATAAATTGATTTGTAGAAGCGGTTGGTAACACCAGCCGCCTCTACAAATCGATTTATAAGGGCGGTCTAGAAACCGCATCTACAAATGCATGATTTGTAGAGACGGTTTGATAGCGGCTGGCCGAGCCGTCTCTACAAACCATCGTCAGCCGCCCCTACAAATACTTTTTGTACTAGTGAGCATCAGCATAAGCCAAATTTCAAGCGAAAAGAACCTGTGTTTTTTCTACGATGATGACTTGATGAGTACGACTCCAAGATAACGTACAGTTTATACCCGCAACTACTCAGTACCACATATGTAGAGATTATACTCCTTCCATTCCAAATTATAGTCATTAGATGTCCTAGCATGCCAAAATAATAATAAATATGTATTTTTAACATGAATTAAGATGTTAGCTAACACCTCACAGATTTTAAATTTTAAAATAGACTTGCACGTGGAGAAACAAAAGGAAAATCTCTCATCAATAATGCAACTATTTTTATCAACAAAAGGAGGAAATCCAATATTATTTTGACCAAAAAATGAAAAAATGAACTATAGCTATAAACAAAGAGATTTGGTAAATGAAACTACCACTGACAATCAGTTCCAAAAAAAACTACCACTGAAAATCAACACCTTCAGACGGCATCCAAAAAGGGGGCATTCTCACCAAATAAATTAGCATGGCAAAACCAAAATATAAGAGTAAAAAAGTGTTTCATTTTGCAGCTTCAACAAAATAATTAAATGTCACCTTTCTATATGTGTATAATAAATCTATAATCTATAACCCAGATATCTTCATTGAAGCACTGGACGTTGAGGGTGGGGTCTAATATTTCATTGCAAATGTTGACTTAAAGTAGTTTTTGTTATCGATAATACTTGGTTGAGGACGTCCGTCCGTCAGGACGAATCGCCCTATGTTGCGCGTCTCTACCCGTTTCGCTTGTCGCGCACCCCGCCCGCACGAATTCACTGCCTCCACCATGTCTCCTGCCGCGACACGCGCTCCATCCGCCTACCAAGGTCCGCGCCGCGATGAGCTCCGCATCGGCGACCTTCGCGTACCACTCCATGGCATCGAGCTCTGCGCCAGCGTTGAGCTCCATATGTTTCATCTGGATGTTGCAAAATAGATCTAGTGTTACATATGTTGCAATGGCTATACACATACATTGCAAGTGTATGTTTTAAATATTTCAGTTGTTTCAGACGTATGTTGCAAGTATTTTACCTCGATGTTGCATATGTTGCAGTGGCTATACACATATGTTACTAGCGTATGTTCTAAATATTTCACACGTTTTATACATATGTTGCAGCAAATGCTTCATGTTGCAAGTATTTCCATTAGTAGGCACCGGAAGCGAAAGCGGGGGCGTCCCCACATGCATGGGCAGCAGCAGGCGCGGGCGCATAGCAGCATGCGTAGTAGCAGGAGGCGGGCAGGCACACGCAGGTGTAGCAGCATGCGAAGCAGCATGTGGGCATGCATAGCAGCAGCAGGCGCGGGTGACCAGGTGCAGCCGCATGCGCAGCAGGTAGGGCAGGCATGGGCGATGGGAAGGGTTAGCAACCGGACGCTAACCACGCTGTTTTGTTATGTGGGACTTCTGACTTGCCAAATGTGAGAAAATAAGCCTACCTCAACTTGCTGTGACGGAAAGTTAGATCATGCATCATACCACCCATATTCGAGTAATCTTCAATTCCAATATGAGTGATGTTTTTTTTTGCTTAATGAAAAATTTCCTAGATACTTCTTGGTTGTTTTCTTAACGCAGGTGTCCTTAGGCTCACAATCTCATTGAGACTATGAACGTGATTGGTACCCTGAATGCGCCCCCGGCTTGGCTCATCTGATGCAATTTCCACGCATTTGGTTCCCTGCATGCTGCTTTGGGCCTATCTCGGCTGACGTAAAAGCTCCCTCCCAGCTTGGCTCGCCAAAAACATAGCGGGGCTTCGTTTCCCCGCGGCCTGGCTAGCGCCGTGCGTTGGGCACATCTAGGTTGGACGCGTGAGAGAGCAGGCGTGCGCGTGAACTGCCCAACCGATCACCAGTTGTCTATATTCTGGTTGATCACAGATAGCAACCAAACAAACACCCATGCATGCGTTGATCCTGGCCGGCAAGGGCTTGGTGCTGCAGGTATGAGCCAGGCTTGGTTACGCAAGGAACCAAACGCGCTATATGAGCAGTGGCGGAGCCAGGATTCTAAATTTGGGTATTTCTACTTCCACATTAAAAAAAATACTTTCTAGAATCTATATTTTTGGTTGAAAATTGCAGCTGCATAAACAAAAAGGTGAACAACATGGAGCCTTGACAAGTGGAGAATGGTCAGTGGAGACTGTGGAAGCCAGGGTGGAGTGCCTAATTGGGCCTAGTGGGCTGGCCTAGGAGAGTGAGACTGCGGAAGCCAGGCTGAAAGGCCGTTTTTTCAGCTGTTTTGGGCTAGAATGAGCAAAAGTATTATAGAATATTGCATTATACATATGTATATACAAGTATACATACATATATACATAAAAGTGTATTGGGTATTCCCAAGAATATTGGAGAATACCCTTGGATCCGCCCATGCATATGAGACCAAGGAGCCCTGGTGGTGTCTCTGAGGGATTCTGACACATTACATGACTTAGCTTCCCAAAAGACAATGGCACATCACCATAATAGATTTTGGACATCCACTTGTTTCGATAATTTCTATTGATTTCAAATAAACTGACGTAGAACAAATGCCAACGCAAAGCTTGTCTCTTTGGACTTGTTTAGTGCCAAGCCACCACACGCCGCGCGAGGTGTGGTGCAACCACCGAAGCTATGGCATCGTGTGGCGAGGAAACCAAACGCGCCGTATGAGACCAAGGACCCCTGGTGGTGTCTCTGAGGGATTATGACACATTACATGACTCAACTTTCCAAAAGACAATGGCACATCACCATAATAGATTTTGGACATCCACTTGTTTCGACAATTTCTGTTGATTTGAAACAAATTGATGTAGAACCAATGCCAAGGCAAAGCTTGTCTCTTTGACCTGTTTAGTGCCAAGCCACCACACGCCACACGAGGTGTGGCGTAGCCACCGAAGCTATGGCGTCGTGTGGTAAGGAAACCAAACGCGACGTATGAGACCAAGGACCCCTAGTGGCGTCTCTGAGGGATTCTACGTCTTTGAGGGATTCTGACATATTACATGACTCAGCTTTCCAAAAGACAATGGCACATCATCATAATAGATTTTGGACATCCACTCGTTTCGACAATTTCTTGATTTGAAACAAATTGACGTAGAACCAATGCCAACACAAAGCTTGTCTCTTGGACCTGTTTAGTGCCAAGCTACCACCAACCACGCGAGGTGTGGCGCAGCCACCAAAGCTCTGGCGTCGTGTGGCGAGGAAACCAAACGCGCCGTATGAGACCAAGGACCCCTGGTGGCGTCTCTGAGGGATTCTGACACATTACATGACTCAGCTTTCTAAAAGACAATGACATATCACCATAATAGATTTTGGACATCTACTTGTTTCGACAATTTCTGTTGATTTCAAACAAATTTTGACGTAGAATCAATGCCAACGCAAAGCTTGTCTCTTTAGACCTGTTTAGTGCCAAGCCACCACACTTTACACCAGGTGTCGCGCGACCACCGAAGCTATAGCGTCGTGTGGCGAGGAAAGTGGCCGCCACACCTACCGCGGAAACCAACGCACAGATACTATATGCCTGTCTCAATGTACACGCAACCCAAACAGCGGCCCACGTACGGCAAGAGCCACGAGTGTGGCGTGGCGAATGATGGCGGGGACCAAACAATCTCTTCATTTATTATTAGTGCATATATGCAGGTAAACACCTGCGCAGCACTATAGCTGCAGCCGCATCTATCTATTATACTAACGTCAGCCAAAAGCATCTATCTATATTTACTAATATGGGCGTTAAATGTAGACAAAAATAAAAACTAATTGAGTTTGGTGATTATTTTTTACTATATAAAATGTCTACTGAAATGGCAAAAAAATACGGAGTAGAAGTGATTATATTATTTTTACTATATATGTCCTAAATATTATTTCCCTCGGTCCTAAATTTTTTGCAATTCTAGAGTTGGCCACGCAAACCAATGCAAGGTGTCAAATTACAAAAATGCCCTTCTTAAATATCTTCCCATCCTATCCTCTGATCCGAGTACAGTTTCATCCGCTTCCATTCCGAGTACCTAGCGGCGGCGCCCCTCGCCTTCCCCACGGCTACACGCGTCGGAGAGTCGTCGCCTCATTCAGAGGCCTCCACGAAGAAGAAGCGGTTGCGCCTCGGCCAGACGGCCACAAGTACGGCTCGTGCGGCGGGGTTTACCTGCGGCTCCAAGCGCCGCCGCTCCTCTCCGACCGCTGGCCGCAGCTCGCCGTACCAGGACAAGGAGTGGAGCCGCGTGAAGCACAGCTCAAGGTCAGAGGCCCCTCCACGCCAGCTTCCTCGCCTTCTGGACCGGCTCCGACGGCCGCGTCGCCCTTGCGCGCCGCCAGGCAGGACTGGGATGCCCGCAGGCCGCAGCTGCCTTCTCCGCCGAGGAAATCATCCGCTTCGATGGAGAAGGATTCTGGTGGATGGCGAGGATCTTCGATGGAGTACGGTGCTGTAGTGCTGCAGCAGTCCATGCGTCCATGGTGGAGGCGACTGGGAGAGAAACGAGTGGTGGAGAAAAATCGAGCGGGGGGTTGCCGGCTGTTTTTTTTATTTTGGCTGTGATTCGTGTGGACGAGAAGCGTTCGTACGCTGCGTTGTCCTTGTTGACAGCCTAGTCTTGTGCATTCTTTCTGGGACATTTTTCAAACTCTAGGTCTTGTTTAGATTATCTTAAAATTTCAAGTTTTTTTACTCTCTCTTCATCACATTAATTTTTAAATGCATGTATAAAGTATTAAATATAGGTAAAAAAAATAACTAATTACACAGTTTGGTTGTAAATCACGAGACGAATCTTTTGAGTCTAGTTAGTCTATGATCGGATAAAGTTTGTCAAATACAAACGAAACGTGCTACAGTGTCTAGATTGAAAAAATTTGCAATCTAAACAAGGCCTAGAATTGCAAAAATTTTGAGACAGAGAGAGTACTCACGAAGTGTATTTTACTCTAGTTTATCCTGGGTGTTGTTTAGATTGGGTCAGAAATCAGTATTTGATACTGTAGCACTTTTGTTTATATTTAACAATTATTGTCCAACCATGGTCTAACTAGGCTCAAAAGATTCGTCTCGTAATTTACAATCAAACTATATAATTAGTTATTTTTTTTATCTACATTTAATACTCCATACATATGTCAAAGATTTGATGTAATGGAAAAAGAGTAAAAAAACTTGCAATCTAAACGAGGCCTCGCCGAGAGTCCACATCACCGCACCAGCGGTGCGAGAAATACGTTTTGATCACGCCATCCGTGCCATCAACTCGGGATCGGACGTATCACGAGCATTGTATTGTTGGTCCTCAACTGTACCGACGCTCTCCAAATTTCGTCGAGTCACGGCCCTAGGTTTCACTTTTGCCGCTTGCCGGCATGCTCCTAGCATGCCGCGGCCACCGACTTGAAACATCCGTGACGCCACGACACCACTTGTTGCTAAGGGCTCTCCTCAAGTGGTCAATGTTGTCTAACGCCGTTCTTCGTCTCCGATCGCTTCCGCGTGGAGGTACACGATGCAAGCGATTCAGCGTGAGGTACTGATGCAAAGACCACCTGCCGCTTACATCCTTCTCCACGTGCTTCGGATTCCAAGGAAGGCGCGTAGTGGTTCTGTTCGCCCGTTAATTGCTCGAGATGTTCGAGACACAACAATGTAAATAGCGAGTGAAACTTGAACAGAGTTGTTAGATAGGATTATGAGACCGTATAAAGTGATCTTTGTGACTAGAAATTTGAGAATGTGATCACCGAATTGCCCAAGTGAATGACCGGATGTACATATTGTTGACATAATGATCGTGTCTTGTTTGCAAAAGAGTTTCGATCTTTGTCATTTCAGGTTGGTCAGCGCCACCACCATTCTCTGCATGATCGTTTGTAATCTCTAGAGCTATGCGAATGAGGATGAGGATCGCTGCGGCAAGGTCATCAAGAGCGGGGTGGATCGAAACGGCTGCGCCGGCCGAAAGTTGTTAGATTCACGTTCAAAAGCAGTCGATCTTACTTCCTAGGCCTCCTTGGTCTAATTAAGATCATAGTTTTTAGACTAAACACCACATATGTTAAAGGGCTACATGGACTCGCCGGGCCGCGGCCGGCAGCCAAAACCTGGATCCGCCCGATCAAGAGCGTCTTCCCCGACGTCGTTGCTACATGTCGGGGCATCAAGCGTGGACTCATTGCAGCGATTGCATGCAATGACGACGAACCAGCGTCTCAGACGGCACGGCGACATCAAGAGAGAGAACTGATCGAGGCGAACATGGTGCATGTTCGCTCGGTCGGTCGTGTTTGGCTTATAAGCCATGACTGAAAGTACTGTGGGCTGATTTGATGTGAGAGAAAAATATTATTCGTTGGTTGAAAACAAGCCAAAGCAAACCCAAGCGAACGGGGCGATGGAGGTCCTCATGCTCGCCCGCCCGCCTTTGCCGTCGTCGCCCCCATCCATCCCTCTTTGGACTGTGGCCCTCACGAACTTCGGGAGGCGGTGGAAGAGCAAAGAAGACCGCTTGGCGACACTCCAAACATGAAGGCGACGGAGCTCGCGTCGCTCGACGTCGTCGACGTGGAAGGCGGTAGCTCAGGGTCGCTCGACGAGGATGACGGCGGCAGAGGGAAAGCAACCTGACTAAGGGCGCGTTTGGCCAGGCTCCCGCCGGCTCTGGCTCCCACACTGTAGCGCAACTGTAGCACGCAGGAGCTAGAGTCGGAGGAGAAAAAAAACGAGCTGCTTCGGCTCTGGCGCTGTCAGTGAGAGAGGAAAGAAGGAGAGAGAAAACAGCTCCGATAAACAATGTTACTACAGAAGATGAACCAGAGAGAAGTCGGAGGAGCCGGAGCCGTCAGAGCCCGTCGTTGGGCTAGATATCGTGCGGCCTACTACCTGAGTTTAGAAGCCGTTGAATGCGAGCGAACGGTGGGATTAGGGTTGAAAACGGTCGGGAGCGGTCGGGAAAACACCGTAATCATTCCCGCTCCTGCATTATATGACCGGGAACGGTGGCGGGAACGGGAAAGCCGGACGGGAAAACGAATTCGATATTACGGGATATCGGGAACGGAATACTTCGATCGGGAACGTGTCGATTACGATCGGGAATCGATAACACAAAACGGAAACATCGATATACATGTAACCACTTAAAACAGTTAGCTCGACGCAATAATTGCAACCATGCATTGAAGCATATACGGATGAAACTATGAAAGCAACATGTAATCGAATCGAGAATGAAGCAACCACACACGTACATCACAGTTCACGAGCAATGAGGCAACAATCACATAGCACACAAGTCACAGTGACTCACACCAGACATCACAGTTTTGCGAGCAAGGCAACCACACACACGTGCAATGGTCCAAGTCCAACACTCGACTCACTCACGATCCACGAGCAATGGTCCAGGTCCAACACTCAACTCACAAAGTCACAAGTACAAGTCCAAATTAAAATAAAACATGAGTTTGCCAAGTGCCATCACCAAACACACAATAGATGAAGGAGCATAAGCAGACAACACTACATGTCAAAGAAGCCCAGATCATCTCCATGTGGTCCATCTCCTTTCATCATCATTGTGTCCGCGACATCGTATCCTAAAAAAAAATAGGAGGCATCGGTGTTGGAAAGAACTGATCCGCCACACCCGATTATCAACTAATATGCAAAATCATAGACAAGGGTGAAGCTCATTCCCCTCTGTTATTTCGAATCAAGATATATGTAGGAAGCATATGTAGCACATGCATGACACATAAAGTTCTTAAGTTTAATAGAATCTTTTTTTTAAGTTGCTTTAATTTAAGGGTGTTAATTCACTTCTAGGTAAGTTTTTTTTTGTTTTCATGCTTACTTGATTTCTAAGTTGTGCTTATTTAGATTTCCCAAAAACTCCTAACAGTTTGTTTCTTACTTTGAACTTTTTACTCTTTCGTTACCAACTCACGATTGCTTGAAGCTAACCTTCGGTTCGGTTGCTAATAGTCTATCAAGTGATGTATAAATACTAGAATTATTATCCTTTCCCTAGATTAGAACTCTAGAGTAAACACTAGTAATCTAGTACACTACACTACATTGACCACATACAAGCGCAACATATATATAACAAACAATGTAGCCAAATGACTAGATAACTCAATTGACAATACCTCAATGTTCAGCTTTGAAACAAGGGCCTCAATAACTTCAAGATCACCAACAATAGAACCAATCTTCTTATCCGAAATTCAAAGTAAGCCAAGACTCTGTATATCGCCAAACATGATTATGATAAAATATTGTACAACTAAAACTAAGATGCTTTTCTAACCTCTTCTTTCTGCAAAGAACCCAATCTTTCATGCATATCAAAGCTTCAACCATTTCGAGGTCAAGGCGGCTACTGAAAGGATCAACAACACGTCCACCGGCGCTAAGCGAGACTCGAAGCCACAGATTGAGACTTGTACTGACTAGCAAATCACGAGCTATTTTTGAAAGAATAGGATACTCATCGATCGGTTCTTCCACCATGCCAAGATATCAAAGCGACCATTGAGCCCTCAGAGGCGGATCTCGCCATGTACTTGTCCAAACTCATTCATATCATCAGCACCATGCCCACTAGACTCATACAAGAAGTTCTCTAGTTCATCATCTCCACTTGTCCACTAACATGTCATCTGTATCCTTAGCATCATTTGATCCACTTTTAGGCCTTGAAGATGAAGGAGAAGTTGAGATAGAATCGGTACAATTTCTTCATGACATCAACAAGTTCATCAACATGAACTTGAGATGAGATGCCATGGAATTTTCTCATGTAGAACTCAATAAGCCTTTTCTTATATCTAGGATCTAGAAAGCGAGGCAACACAAGTGTAGTGGATGATTTCTTCCAATATTTTTCAAACTTCCTACTCATAGAAGTAGCCATTGCACTAATAGTGATATCTTGACAAAGCAGACCATTCATCTAGTAAAATCTTTATCTCACAAAACCCTCTATAGAACAGATTTGCAGTTGGATATAAAGTACCAGACAACAGTGATTCACACATCTAACATCTTTGCCAATAAATGAAACATACACTAATTCACACATCTTTACCTGCCATTGGAAAAGGAAGGGTGGTCTTCTTGTTCACCGGCGGGGTGGCTCGGAAGAGGCGGCGCTTGAGGCGGATGAGGCGGAGCTGAACTGAAGCTTGCTCACTTGGTGGTGGCTTCATCTTGGCGTCCGGCCGCCTCCCTAGCCCCCAAGTCGTGGATCTGTTGTCGCCTCGTCGGACGGCCAGCCACTGTGCAAGGCACCAGGGAGGGGCCGAGGAGGCGAGCCGCCAGCGCCAAAGCCTAGGAGAGAGGCGAGAGAGAGGCGCTGAGAGTTGAGAGAGACCGAGAGTCCGAGAGGAGAGCCGGAGAGGAGGAATGAGCCGTGGCAGGCGAGAGAGAGCGCGGCGTGACATCTTGAGAGAGAGAGCCATTGCCGAGCAAGAGGCGGAAGATTGGGGATTTGGGTGCTTAGGGTTTACTATAGGGAGATCAACAAGAGAGGAGCGGACGTGGCCGAGGTGAGTTGGCCCGTCGCGGAGGCTTAGATATCGAACAAAGGATCCGGAAACCACTCTAACGATTTGACACCGGATTAGAAGAATCCGTTTTTGAATGCGATATTCGAACGCGATTTTCGGTCGGATGCGCTGAATTTCCTGTTTTCAACTGTGGGATCGACCGATCGCCGATGCATCGATGAGGTCATTGCCGGATGCGAATCGCACCGATAACGTACCTCGCAGATAAAGTTTGCGTGGGTCCCACACGACGCCCACCGATGGCCATGCTTATATGGAGCGTTGCCGACCACAAACTTTTCTCCAAGTGAAGCTGCTACTCTGTACATGGTTTTCTATAGGAAAATAATTTTGAAATAAAAATGTCACAAAAAATTATACAAAAAGCGAGTAAAATCGAAAGAAATAGCACTGGGCCCCACGCAATGGCCGACATGGACCACCTTTATAACGGGCCCCACCCACCACCTACCCAAGCCACAACGCCCACCGCCAGCAGCAGAGCAGCCCAGCACCACCACATCACATCGATCGCCATGCCCGCCACCTTCCCGCCGCCGGCGCCTACCTCTCACGGCGGGTGCAACGGCACCGGCACCCTTCCTCCGCCGATGTCTTCCAACGAGTCCTTCTCCAACTTCTTCGAGTCCTGGATCGCCGAGCAGTCCCGCGACCTGGAGGAGCTCCGCACCGCGGCGTCCGCGGAGCCGGCCGCCCCCGAGGCCGACCTCCGGCGCCTCGTCGACCAGGTGCTGGGCCACTACGCGCAGTACTACAACACCAAGGCCGCGGCCGCGGCCGACGACGTGAACATGATGTTCACCGCGTCCTGGACCTCCACCACCGAGCACCTCTACCTCTGGTGCGGCGGGTGGCGCCCCACCGCCGCGCTCCAGCTGCTGTACACCAAGTCCGGGATGCAGCTCCAGCAGCAGCTCCCCGTCTTCCTCGACGGCGGCGGCCTCAAGGACGACCTCAGCGACCTCAGAGCCGCGGAGCTCCAGGCCGCCGACCAGCTGCAGCACCGCACCATCACGAGGGAGCGCGAGATTGAGGAAGTCGCCGCGAGCGCACAGGTGAGTAAGAAAGGAGAAAAAAAATCAGCGGCACCCCCTTCACGAAATAAAATATCTAGTGAGGTCAACGAGGCCCGCGTGTGCAGGAGGCGCTGACGTCAAAGACGATGGTGGAGCTCGCGGGCGGCGGCGGGCTGGAGGCTGGGGTGATGGACCGGGAGATGCAGACGAAGGCGGAGGGGATGAGGCGGGTGCTGGAGATGGCGGACGGGCTGCGGCTCGAGACGATGCGCGAGGTGGTGGCGCTGCTCCGCCCCGCGCAGGCCGTGCACTTCCTCCTCGCCGCCGCGGAGCTCCACCTCGCCGTGCACGACTTCGGGCGCCGCAAGGACGGGCACGCTGGCAACGCCGCCGCCGCCGCCGCCGCGCCGTCGAAGTGACGCTGACGCGTGAAAAGATAACGGCCTTGCCTGCCTGCCTGCCTGGCTGCTCCGCTTTTGCGTGTCGTGTAATGGCTCCTGTTCCAAGCGGCGCATGGCTGCGCGCCTGCGCGCGTTCGTAGCCGTGACGTCGCGCGGCCGCGATAAGCTTGTGAACATTTGTTCCTCTTGCTGTGCCTGAAGGTGTTGTCAGTTGTGTGCACTGTGCAGTCGTGCCATGTCTGTCTGTGGAGTAACTGTGCTCTTGTTCGTATCGTTTGGGTGTAGTATGGTATCGAGGGGGGGAATTTTTACCATTACAACGGATGGCGTATCCTAAGATAGCCCTCTTATGGTTGCCACTGAGCTTTTGTCAGCAGGAAGAGAAACGCGATACGAAATTGCCTTTTTTTTTTTCTCGCGTGGCATGTCAGCACCTCACACCATTGTAGATCCGAGTCACCAACCCCATGTGAAATGACCGTCATGTCCTTGGCATCTTTCTACTTTCCCTGCGCGGCCCACTCATCTCTCCGTCCCCTTCTTTTCTCTACTTCGCACAAACCAGGTCTTGCCTGTTCGTCCGCCGCCGACAACGTCGCTCCCCAGAGCCATCTCACAGGACCACTATCGCGATGGAGTAAACATATGGCTGCATCCAACCCTTGCCCTGCCCCGGCGGGAATAGAAAGATGCCAGGAGCAGGGTTGGATCCGTGCTGGGGTGAGGTGATGGCGTGCAACGTGAGCAAAAGTAGCAATTTCGTATTGTGTTTCTCTCTCTGCTGGCAAAAGCGTAGCGGCAACCGTAAGAGTGCTATCTCACGCCACCATCACAATGGAGTAAACATATGTGGTTGCATCCAACCCTTTCCGCAGTTGGCATCCAACCCTTTACGCTGTCTGCCCTGCCCCGGGGGGAGTAGAAAGACGCCAGGGACACTGTTGGATCCATGCTGGCGTGCGGTGCTGGCATTCGATATGAGCAAAAGTGGCAACTTCGTATCGCGTCTCTCTCTCTCTCTCTTTGCTGGCAAAAGCGTAGCGACAACCATAAGAGTGCTATCTCACGCACTATCACGATGGAGTAAACGCATGTGGCTGCATCCAACCCTTCCCGTGGTCTACCCTGCCCCGAGGGGAGTAGAAAGATGCCAGGGCAGGGTTGGATTCATGTTGGCATATGACGCGAGCAAAAGTGGTAATTTCATATTGTGTTTCTCTCTCTGCTGGCAAAAGCGTAGCGGCAACCATAAGAGTGCTATCTCACGCCACTATCATGATGGAGTAAACGTATGTGGCTGCATCCAACCCTTTTCGCGGATGGCATCCAACCCTTCCCCACGATCTGCCCTACTGAAAGGTCCTAATGGCTAGAGGGGGAGGGTGAATAACCTATTAAAAATTTCTACAACAACACTTAACAAACCGGTTAGCCAATTATGAGGCGAAGCAAGTATTGCGTTAGCCTACTAAAATAGCAAGCCACCTACCACAATTCTAGTTTATATAGTTTCTATCCACACAATAGCTATAACACTATACTAAGTTAGTGTGCTCTTAAAAGCTAACTAAAGAGCCACACTAATCAAACTAACAAGCTCTCACAACTAGCTACATTAAAGAGCTTGACAACTAGTTTGCGGTAATGTAAAGAAAGTGAGCAAGAAGGTTATACCACCGTGTCGAAGAAGGAGCCAATCAATGTGGCAGAATCTCCTAAATTATAGGGCTCGCATGCACCTGTCACTGTCCAATGACCTTTAACGACCATGCATATGTTCCCGGTAACTTAAGAAGACTGTAGGGTGTCCTCGGGGAACCCCGAATCATCCACGATTTTCGAGCAGGATCCCATTACAGAGTCATTGCAATATTACAACAGTTTATTCAAATAGATACATTATAGTAATATAGCGGAAGTCTTACAATAACTTAGTTTACAAAACATTTAATTCAAACCTTACAAACTAAGTTCGATTAATATTACAAACCATAGTAGTAGAGTGGTATTATAACATAATACAAAACACACAATTAAATTGCCCTGCCCAAGGGCCACACATTTACTTCTCGTCATCGGATCGAACAACCGTCATGCAGCACGGTCCAAAATAGACCTGCTCATGAGGCTCGCCTGCAACAAGGGTCAACGAACCCTGAGTATAAAAGTACTCAACAAGACTTAACCGAAATTAGAACTGAGAAGACTCAGGAATGCAGGCTCAGGGATTCAAGGTATGGCTTTAGCAATAATCAAAGTTCTTTTGCGTAAAAGCTCTCTAACAAGATTCTTTATATCAACATTTTTATCTTCAAAAAGATCATATACAAAGCTGACATGATCCGTAATGAGATCATGAAACCTCATATCCAATACTTTCTCAAACCTTACTCAAGTTCTAGTTATTAACTACGATGATGAACAGGGAGTTGAGTCTCCATAACCGAGGAGTAACGATGATTCGAACCGATTAAACCCGGCTGGGGATTCCAGACCACACGACATATGCAGGTCCCCGACCTACATATACCAACCTACCCTCAGGTCCTCTAAAACAAGAACGGGTACGCGCCACCCGAGAATACAGTACTCCACCAATTCAGCCCATTGCCACGTGGGTACACGCTATTCCCGCCATCTCTCCACTCCTAGTGCGCGAGTAGCCATTCTCGTAATAGAATAGCCAAGTTAAGGCTTACCGGAGTATGTGGTTAGTACTACAAAGTCTCACCTCATGCAATTCAACAACGGACGGACCTTAATCGACACAGGCGAAAAGAACCCGCTCACAAGACCTCTATGTCTTGTGGCTCCCATACACCGAGTCCACCCGGTCTAGATTTATTATTCCACATGATCATATCTCATGATAACATGAACAACCGAGCGTAACCAAAAAATCCATTTATATCTCGCAGGTGACAAAGTAGTCACTCAACTTTTATCTATCTACGCATGGCTAAACATAACTAGGTATTTACGAAGTAAAACTGGCAACAAGGTAGATATGGAAAAACAAGATTGGTAATGCACCAATTAGGTTTTCATTCAACTCCTAATCACTTAATGCAGTAGAAAAGCAAAAGCGATATCAATTTGTAAAACATAAGGTAGGTTTAAATGCATCCGGGGCTTGTCTTGATTCACGGAAAAGCCAGGTTCCGGAGTCATTCCACCGATCTCAAATCCAACCTCCACAGATGGATTAACTTCCTCCACAACTTGATTAACTACCACGTGCTCACCTTCGTTCACTACACATAGTAACAATGCCATGTTTAAAATAATGCGAGATATAAAACATGATGCTTGACGATGGATGCAAAAGTTAATAACTTGAATACAACTTTCCTTCGCGGTACCGTTACAAGTCAAAACTGACTAAACCTTTTTCATAACACTTACTTCAATTGCCAAGGATCATTACCAAATAATGACCCAAGGTCATCACTCAATCCAAAAATTCAAACAAAACCTAAGTCATTAAAGGTTACTATTTGCTTTTATGAATGAATTAATTAATTAATTAAAATTATGAAATAAATCAATTTTCTCAAAATGAGCTAAAAAATTTTATGAAGGCTTATCACATGATAACTAAGTGGCAAAATAATTTTCATAAATTTTGGATAAATATTTAATCCTAGAAAGATCATGGAAACCCATTTATTAATTAATTAGAGCAATTTTTATCACCTTCAAAAAGTACTGAAAACATAATATTTCATATTTTTCCTAATTAGTATACATCACAGAGAGGTCACACAAAAAATTTCATAATTTTTGGAGCTCCGATTAATTCTATACAAAAATAACAAATCACATCACTATTCATTCAAATCTACAAAATAGAAAAAATCCATTTTCAACACTGAGTCACTGACACACGATCCCACCTGTCATCCCCTTCCTCCCGTGCTGACCACGGCGATACGCGCGCTGACCAGCGATTTCTCGCCGACGGCGAGGTCACCGACGACGGACAAGGTACCACCACCGTCGATTGGTGGCACAAACGAGACCCAAAACAGCCTAGACCGAGCATGACACTAGCCATGGCGGCCACGACGGCGCGGCTGCGCGACTCTGACGAAACGGGATCGATAGCGGTTAAACAAATGGCACAGGAAGGTTCAGCAGCTCACCCCAAACACGTTTGAGCAAAGAGCAGGGCCGGAGGATCAATAGAGACGCTGGTCAACGTTCACAGCAACCACGGCGGAGCAAGCTACGACGACGGTGATGTTCCAATGGCTGCGGTGGACAATTTGATCAATCAACAAGGCACAAAGTATCATTGAGACAAGGCGAAGCTGGAACAACCCTCCGCAAGGACAGAGGCGCACCGTAGAGCGCTGGCCACGACGGCGCTCGCTCGACGGTGGTGCTGTCGGCCACGAGGAAGAAAGTCGATGAGCGGCGTTTCCCGACGAAGTCAAGCTACAAGGGCTGGATGACTGGGTGCACAAGGAACAGGCGGAGCTGTGGCAAGCTTTGCCGAGGATAGGAAGGCGCTATGGCGACTGAGAAACTCAACGGAGCAGCGGCGACGGCGACTGAAAAACAGGGGAGAAGAAACGACGAAGAACGACGGCGACGAAGGCCATATAACGCGGCTCAGAAGCAAAAGGAAGCCACGCAAGATCCTTCCCCGCGCTAGCGCGAAGCCGAAGACGGCCACGAGCGCGCCTGGAACCTAGAAGAAGATCGCCGACGGTGAGGTGGCTTCCACGGTCACTGTTAACCTTATTTACAAAATTGCCACTCGATTTAAAACCCAAATTACTTCCAAATTTATGTAACAACTAAAAAATCTCGAAAAATAAAAGTTGTTCAAAATTAAAAGTTCTACAACTTTGCTTTTATAGCCATACCCAAATTCGGTCTATATTTTGAAATGCAAGTTTGAATTAAAAAAGGGGACACTTTGAGAATTTACGCCTTTTCAAAATACTTCAAATTTTATAAAACAACTTTGAAAACTCCAAAAACCAACTTTGTACCACTCGACAAGCTCT